AAGATATAATCGACTTTTTAATAAATTTGCCAGAATTAAAAATCAATATTGTTATTATAAATTTTATCATGGAGCCTTGTGGCATTACATGTAAAATATCTGTACATCAATTGGCTGGTTTTGTAATTTTCGTCGTCAAAAATGAAAACATTGATCAGGCATTATTTCCATCTCATTTTCTTGACCGTAATTCGAGTTAAATTTAAGTATTTAGTGCAATCCTTCATGCCCGTAGCTTGAATTTGGAATTAGAATATAGCAGCTGCCATCCGTCAGTGAAGTGTAAACAATTGCGTGACAGAATCATCATAATGTTAAACTCTCATGTTGAACTCTATAATTATAGAAGTTTTCCTTTCTAAAACGAAAATTATTGCAAGAAATATATAGCCAAGGAAATCTTTCTGGCTCATTTGGTCTTATTTTATTACAGGTTTTACTGAAAATTTTAGACGTAGTGAGACTGCGGGACTCTTCTAATCTGCTCATTGTAAATAGAACAAAACGTTGGAACGCTAAAACCTTGAAACAACTCTTTTACATCATAGATTTTTTTTTTTACGTAAAGATTGAAATAATAATTCACATGTTTGCCTCGTTATGCTGACATCATATTGCAAATACAAAGTGACGTGTTACTGAAAATAAACTTATGACATCACAACTGTCAAGCGAGAGTACAAAACTCGCTGTGTGATCTCTAGGATACTATAGTACAGTCATAGAAAGCAAGTTATTAGTTTCTGCAGAAAACGTGTAAAAGGAAATCACCAGCTCTTGCCAAAGCACGATATATTTTCTCGGTCATCAAGGTAAGTTTGGCAATTCTGTACATATATTCAATGCTTCCACTGGAAAAAATCGCGCGCTTTAAAGGTTGTAAATTTTATGTAAATATGTTGTAAGTGTCCAAAATTCTGTAAATTTAATGGAAATCATTTACATCAAATTTACAGAAATTTGGACACTTACATCATATTTACATCACATTTACAACCTTTAGAGCGCGCGATTTTTTCCAGTGTTCTCGCTTTCAAGGCCGGCGAAATTTTTATAGTTTTCCCTTCAAATAATGAATGCTAGACACTTGTCTCAGTAAAATGTTAGAGATGAGGTACCATCTGCTTCAAAGGTGCTATTTCGCGCCGATGAGTAAGAAGTTCATATTTTTTTCTTGGAGGCAGTATTATCTGTCAAAGATTTTTGTTTGGATACGTTTGTGCATAATCTATTTTTTTCGAACTGTCAATGTGCTGTATAATTCCCTTTCAAACTCCATTGCAGTGTGCAAGATTGTGCCTTGATTTCGTTCTTCTGGCCGATTCCGGTTTCCCGGCTTTCTTTACTAACGCGAGTAAAGCGCTCATATAAGAACAAGGTGATAAACTAAGACTGACCCAGGCTAGAGTTTTATACAATATGCTCCATGTAAAAGAAAAATATTCTCAATCCGTTAAATAAAGATATAGAAAATTAATCAATATTTATGTAGTAAACTGCATTGTATACACGATTTTCTAGTAATAAAGTTCATAGATCCAGTATAGGTGATTTCGATGTGTATTTATATATTTAGGAAACACTAGCATATCTCAATTTTAATTAAAAGATGGCTGGCCACAATCGCACCCCAATGTCATAAGGGAGGAGTTAAAACTATTTTGCAGAGAATATCCTTAAATATCCCTTTGCAAAAACAGGTTTATATGTGGCCTTGGTGTTTAAGCTACCGGCAAGGCATTAAATAGAGCGGATTTCGTATGAGTGGGACACCGTTACCGCACGGTTACCTCAAGGTTACCGGACCTGGCCTGCACAATTTTTGTGAACACTAATGGAGCACTAGAATTTGGTTACAGCACGATTACGGTCACAGTACAGTACCATCCGTTTCCCACTCATACGAAACTGACTCTAAGCTAAATATTAAGAAACACTGACAYAAATATATAGCACTAATGCAAATGAATGTGGATCCTAATATATTTTCTAGATATGGGTATGTACAAAAGCACTATGGATGGTGGAAAAGTCATCAAATATCTAGTCTTGTTCTTCAATTTCCTGTTCTTTGTAAGTATAAGATAGTATAGAATTTTATTGGTTGATGATTGTTTAATATCAATACTTAGAAAACAAGATACAAAGATAACATTAATAAATTATTTTGTGGTCTACCGTGTACATGTTTTCTAGCTCAAATGCGTAATTAGTTATACACACATCACACATGTTTGGAGATTGGGAACGAATGTGTTCCTAATGGTTCGCACATGTCCATATCTCATCCAAAAACCTTAGAAATCATATTTCTTTTGTTTTAGAAATGATCTCTTTTGAACGGAGTCTTCTTCTTGGTTCAAAATCAAAGACGGCAAATTTTTATAAGTGCGAAAATCGCGCAATTTAGATTCTTGGTTGCAATTTTAAAGTCCACCATGTTCACTTTCGCTTCAGAAGCAAGCGTGACAGGCTGCAACACCAACTAAAAAGAAAAAAAGAAGTAGTATCGATCGAGAGTGGATATAGTAGAGGTTACAGAACTATAAAAATATAATTATCTGTGAAATACCTATATTTCTCCATTTTGTAAAATTGATATTATCACTAGTGAAAATAAGACATTCGAGGTTTCTCTATATAGTAGAAGTAASAAAAAAGGTATTTTATGACATAATTTGTTTTCATATTTAATTATAGGATAAACAGAATATGCATGGTCGGCATGGTCGCTTGGCGATATACGAATTTTATCTTCTCGTGTTGAAAACCTCTCAAGATCCTTTCAACACTCGAAGATCAAATCCGTATCTCCGCGCGCTCATGTAATATCCTCTATATCTACTCACAGTGAGTTATTTTCTTTAGGTATTTGGTTTAGCTCTCATGGGTGTTGGCGCTTATGCAGAAGCAAAATTTGGCAACTTCACCCACCTATCGACTGTTGACTTTGCATCAGGCTCACGTCTGCTTATTGCTGTTGGTGTCATTATTGCTGGTATTTCATTCTTTGGCTGCTGTGGGGCCTGGAAAGAGAATAGATGCTTGCTTATAATTGTAAGTACGGTATTGCTGTTCAGGCGGCCTTATGGGAAAAAGTTATATTGCGGAGTGTCTAAAAGTCAGTCAGCATGGCGGAGTGATCAAAATACTTAAGGCAATTGATTGATTGATTTATAAATCAATAAACCAATCATTAATTATTTCAACATTTCAATAGAACAAGCTTAGGAAAATAAAGGCCAAATAATATTGTTAGAAATACTTAGAGATTTCGATTGCCTGCCGTTTAGATTTTTTTTTAAATTTCCTCATGATCCGTCAGGCTGTCTGACGTTTTTGACACTCCGTATTTTGCTGTTTTGATACATGTGCTTTGCTATTTTATTTTACATTTTGTTTATTTTTATTTTTCGTTTTAGTTCTTTGCGCTTCTGTTTGTGATGGTGATCCTTGAAATCACTGGTGCGGCCATTGCGTACCAACATCGGGGTGAGGTAAGCACAATGCTGGCCTTTCAGCGATCTCTTTTCCGCTGTGTTAGCCTCAAAACCWTGYAATRAATTCTYTTGTTCACTAACAGCCCSTGCAAATGCAAGAGATTYGTGAGTATASAAGACAATGGAAATAGTTTGAAATTTCACGAGTTTCATTCTAATTTTTTTTTAATATATTGAATATATTGCACATAATTGAGTCTAATTAACACAGCGTAAAGGACATCGCGAAACTCAACTATYGCGCATRATAATCCTCTCATCCCCTGGTGCATCATGGGATTTGACAAAAGTACAAACTGAGGACCAGCACCGTTCAGCACCGATCGGAACGGGTCTCGTGATAGGTTTAGAAAACAATGGATAAACAATAGAGAAGTCTTCCAACAATACAACAAAACCTAACCTGACAATATTTGCTGCTGCAAACTGTTTTAAATGATACTCTAGAAGCAAGCGACTCGATTTATTCGACCTTTAGTAGCGCTAAATATGGGTCTTCGTACTGAATTCATAGTTTTACTAGGAATCAAATCCGCCATCTTAATACGTTTATCTGTTTATTAATGTCGTCTAAAGAGAAAAAGGTAATAACTTTTTTATACTGTTATGGTCGCCATCTTGAATTTTGAAGAAATTATTGAATGTCTAGGGAGAAAACACGTTGTGTTTCCGTATTGATCGTTTTCACTCATTCCCATGAGATTCAAAAGATAAAAGACAGCCGGCCATGTTGGAGGAATGAACAATAGATTCTAATGAAAAATCCTTTGTTAAAGTTCCTCCAAGATGGCCGCTGTGACGTAACTTGAAAACGAAGAATAGAACAGCACCTCAAAATTAATTCAGAGAAAATTACTGTATGCTTGCCTAACGATGTCTTTTATCTCTCTTTCCGTAGTTTACCGAATTGCTCAAGAAAGACTTGAACATCACGCTAAGGGATTATTATGGGAAAGATAAAGTTAAGACAGAAGCTCTTGATTTTGTCCAACAAGAGGTACTATTAACATTATTAAWAATATAACAAAATATTTTTCACATTAAGATATACGCTGTGATTGGACAACGTATTCACGACTTTCCGTACTCAGGTTCAGTGACTRCGAACAAAACATTGAACCGAGGCGTCAAGATACACTTATCACAGATCTTTTCTTTTGTGCTCACTGTACCTTGACGCCTCGTTCCAATGCTTTGTTCATGGTCACTGAACCTGAATATGTAAAGTCATGAATATTTAACAAGCTAATTAGCTAACTAATGAAACAGGTGCTGTGATTGGACAATTAAAGCAWGCAATGTGATTGGACAGCTCATTTAACACGCTGATTAGCTAACTATTCAAACTCATTTGAATATACTTAACTATGCATGCGAGGCATTAAGAGGTCCCTAGGGAATTGAGTCCACTATATCTACCACTCTTCGCGTGCACCCCTTCACTCGGCTAAAAGAAGCTTACCAGGAGCAAGTTTSCTAASCCACCCACCCTTCCCTCACGATCTGTGTTAYCGACCAAAAACACAATCCAAGTCGGCAACTCTCCGCGTCGCTTCTGGCTCAGCRGGGGGTTGTGTCCTATTACTTAATTCCACAACAATGACCGCAAGAATAATATAGTACTATAACTTAATTGTGCTTCAGAGAGTTAAGAACTAAGATTGAGGTTGACCATGACTGCACTTGATCGGAAACTACGAGAAGTGCTTAATTTTGATGCATTTTCAATTCCGATATTGTATGTTATTCATGTGCAAACCAGAAGACTACCTGTTAAAGCTATTTTGGCCATGGTCATGGGTTGAATTGTACATGTGGCGTAAATTGTACAAATTGTACAATTGTAAAAATTGTATGAATTGTACATAGACGTAAATATCGGCGCTATAAGACCGTTTGGGGAGGATTGCTATTTTAATACCAGTGCCACAATGATTTGTGTAATTTATTTCTTGATCTGTTGATCCATTCGAGGATTAGCAAAACAAGCAAGTGTCAACAAGTGTCAACAATTACCCACTACAAAAAAAGTGGCACAGCAAACTGGTCTTGGTTGTAAATGACGTCATAGTGAAAACGGACTATTCCCTCCTTCATATTTTTCGGGACATCATTGTGCATTTTCTTATGTTTCCCCTTCTTCAAACCTTTAACTAGAGACGCCAGGCTGAATTTTAAATTGTTTTGTTTGTAGGCCAAGTGTTGCGGTATCATGNTTGCTTGGCATAGGGTTGCATGGTGTTGGCTTGTTTGCTTGCTTGCTTGGCAAAGGTTGGTGTTGACTAGTTTGCTTGGCATAGGGTTGCATGGTGTTGGCTTGTTTGCTTGCTTGCTTGGCAAAGGTTGGTGTTGACTAGTTTGCTTGGCATAGGGTTGCATGGTGTTGGCTTGTTTGCTTGCTTGCTTGGCAAAGGTTGGTGTTGACTAGTTTGCTTGGCATAGGGTTGCATGGTGTTGGCTTGTTTGCTTGCTTGCTTGGCAAAGGTTGGTGTTGACTAGTTTGCTTGGCATAGGGTTGCATGGTGTTGGCTTGTTTGCTTGCTTGCTTGGCAAAGGTTGGTGTTGACTAGTTTGCTTGCTTGGTAAAGGGTTGGTGTTGGATTGTTGCTGGCTGATCATAAGGCTAGCCACATGCTTATTGGTTGTTTGCATGGTTAATCGTTGTGATTAATCGTTGGTTGTACTGGTTTTCTGACGGAAAGACATCTATTGGGCGGCATAGCAATCACGACTACACTGGAAAAAATCGCGCGCCATAAAGGTTGTAAATTTGATGTAAATATGATGAAAGTGTCCAAAATGATGTAAATTTGATGGAAATGATTTACATTCTTCCAGTGCTAGTACTGTTATTGTTAAACACTGAATCGATTGTACTGTGAATGAATAACATATATATTACATTTATCTTGTTTTGGTTTGATTTCCAAGGGCTGTTATAACCAACTGACTAAGTTGGTACGAGAGCGTCTTGGAGCAGTTGCAGGAGTTGCTGTAGCTATYTTACTAATCCAGGTGATTTCTCTTGATTCTTTTATTATTTACACTAATACACCTGAGTAAGTGCTAATTAATTGCATTGTTTTCGTTTTTGTCTATTTCACTATCATACTTAAATAGTTAAACGTTGTTTCATGGGTTTAATGACTTCACAAAAGATGGTTTACGGTTGATCGATATTATAAGCATAAGCAAAGCTTTTGTTATTTTYAAAATGACTGATATACTGATCAATTTTTATGTCATTCTTCATGCCAACAGATCCTCGGTATGGTTTTCTCTGTTTGTCTCATTCGAAAAATCACAAGAAACGAAACGTACGCCTAAATTGTCCATCGCGATTCAAAGTTGCGCACAACACACACCAATTTAACTTGTATATGAACTTAATCTCTTGCATGCACTATATATGACTTGCTCACCAAAACTGAGGTCGTAGAGGTCGCTAATTAAGCTAAGCAGTTAAGATTCTTTGTCCGTGTTTRCATGTAGTTAGGCGCCTCGCCCTGTACAGCCATTCGAGAAAATGTTAAATATATACTGAATACTGAATTCTGCATGATGCATTCCAAGACTCCAATGCATTGTTGGTATGAAACTCAGTCCTCGCTAGGTGCGTTACAATTCTAACCTTTATAATTGTTCTCTAATTAAAGTTCTTMGCCGAACGGGGCTGGTGTAGTCACTCTGGTACAACAAATTTTCCTTTTAAATGCCGATARAACAACCAACAATGCATTTCGGTCTTGAAATACAATATTTTTAGTATTTAACGTTTTCTGAAATAGCTGTGACAAGTTTATAGCATTGTACTGTATTGTATCCACACAACAATATAGATATTAACAATACGAGACTTTAAAGCACGACGCAATAAACTTGATACGATTATACAATATCCCGCATAAATGTGTCAGAGTATTAGACAAATACTTTGATGAAGGATCAACCCTGCTGTTTTTCATGGTTGTGCTTGCATGTTAGGTTGGGTCACTCTAGGGTTGGGTTAACTTAGCTTTTTTTCTGATAATATATTGTATTCGATGCTTAACGACAGTTTATTTATGATGCTAGCACTACTCGCAGGTTGACACTTTGCTTGTCAAGTTTTATTGTTAGGCAACTTTTGACTTATACAGGGAGCCGAACATTCAGAGTGTCCATGTCTTTCATGTACACAGGAGTGTTCACGCCGTTTTCATAGACCTGTCTATTTTTGTTGTCGTTGGTCGTCTCGAAGTAGTCTCTYGCAACTTCAGGAAGACTAGAAGAAAAATCTTTTTCACTGTCGTCTGCAATGTTTATTTATTATTCAACTTTGATTTCTCGGGAGCGCCCAATACCGGAAGWGAATTCTCATTGGTTAAAAAAAGTCTAAAAATAGACACGTCTATGAAAACGCTGTTGCCAAACCCAATGCTCATCATGAACGCTCCTATAGTCATGGGCTCCTTATTCACTAATAATGAAAAACAGCACGGTATATACTTTTCGAATTTTTTTGTCTTTTTCAAATGCTTATTTTAAGTAGTTTATAATGTAACTTGCCAGTAATTAAAGTGGTTTTCATACTGATATAATTTTACATAATGTAAAAAGAGTTTGCAAAAAGTTTGTAAATATAGCCTAAACTCCAATAAATAACCAATAATCTCAAAGTTTCAAAAGTTCCTTTTTCAGTCCGTTTGCTATATATTCTTGGATCCAAAAGTTTTCGATTTACAAAACCGATAATAAAGGATATTATATGGTCTTTGAGAGTTGAGACGAGAACGCATGTAACTATTCATGACAGTAAGTCATATTTTAAAAGTAACTTAATATATAGTTGAGAAACGGATGTACACAGGCTACTTAATATATCGCAGCTGTAATAATTTTAAGAAAACTTAAAACTGTGATGCTCCATAGGGCATCCCAAAACCAACATGGATGTTTTCGAGTTGCAAAATGACAATTCTAAACTGTTAATTGGTTTTTGACTATATAGAGCTGGCACAGTCAGGAGCGGCGCAGAGTTTTTATGTGGGGTGGTATGTGTGTGTGTGTGTGTTGGGGGGAGGGGGGGGGGATGGGTGGAGGGATACTGACATGTTTAACTCGAAAGAAAGCAGCACTCTGGAATGGTTTATAGAGCTTACATTCGGTCTGAAACCACGAAAAAAACTCCTTTTTTTCAACGGAGAAAAAAAGACCATCGATGCATTTCGGTCCGTTGGAATGCACTATGCAAACTACAGAATTCAATGTTAATGTTTTTGAAATACCTGTATTATATRATAAAGTCATTTCTTTCAAGTGGCGCTTTCCTTCAAGCAACCAATCGTCTCTTGATGCGCACATGACAAACAAAGACATGATAAAGCCATTYAKTAACCCATGTAATAGCTCTATTGTTTGACCGATGTCATGACTCAATGAGATTCCAGTATGTGGGCTATTTATGCAACATTCTTGTAAGTTTGTAAATAGACTATTCTAGTGCTGATTACGCATTCATCGAGGGCCATCTTTCACACCAAGAGTCTTAATATCCGAACTTGAGTCTTTTCATTTTAACAGGTATGTAGTCTCATTATATTACTTATCGGGAACTTTGATAACTCATGGCAAGTTTTGGATTTTGAATTATTCGCAATTTCGAGCATTCTTGATTACTAAAGAGGAATTGTTTGCATCAATGATTATAATAGATGTTGATATTTAGATGTAGACTTTGTTATTTGAGTGCTTAAGTTTTAGTCGTTAATCAGTTGATCATGAAATACTCTCCTATTTGGAGCTGAATTTACCCTCAAAATTTCAAAATGTTTCAGATTTTGCTCATCAATAAGAGGTCACCAAAACACATACAATAAGTAAGAAACAATCTAAAAGAATTCTTCTAAAGAATACTTGAGTGAAGTTGCTGTTTTATTTTGCAGTTCAGTTTTGTCATTTGTCGCTTCTTTGCAGTAGATTCGCTGCAAGATAATCTCTAGTTTTTACKTTGCTTTCCAATTCAATTACAATTTGAAGTTCTATTTCAAACAATAGGCTCTATTAAAGTTATGTATTATTTTTTTCGCTATTGTTTGATAAAAAATATTTATTTTTTTTTCTCGTATCTGAAAACTTCAAAATAATCGACTATATTATTGTAATTAATCGACGTTATTTGCCTTATAAAGTTGTTCCAGAGCAGATGGAGTCTACAAGTAACTTTTGCTATTGCCTTATCGTCAGTTATTGTTGAAAAATATTGTACTCATTTATATCCAGCATTTTGCCTTCTTTGCAAAGATCATTGTGCCTTTCATACGATATGTACTCCACCTATGAACTTCCCCAGTAAATAATAAAAACAAATAGTCTTATAACGTCAAAGACTGGAAGTGTAAGTCATTTTCACAAGATTATTCAAGACAGCTATCCTCCAATCTGAGTTAAGCGATTTCTTTTTTTTGTACAAATTTTAATTGCCATCATTAGAAAACAAAAAAGAATCAAAGAAATTAAAATCACTTCAATTAAGAGTCCTTCACGAAGCAGGTGCAAAATTTAGTGTCAGAATAAATTTTAAAGAAATTTGTCGTGTACATTAAATGTTTATGAATGAAAATCTTCAGGTATAAATAAAAAAAGGATTATTTCTCTGTCGATCTAAGATCTTGAGAGTGATATATCATCTGAAATAATCGCCTTCAGTCGCTATAAATTGTACGCTAAAATAACTTTCAACAAAAAGGAGCTCGTTTTCTCTGCGTGAATCCAGCTGAGTCCAATATCACTATTTGGTGTATTAACTCAATCTACTACTTCTGGAATCTGCTAGCTTTATATAGGCAACCGCATCTTCGAACCAGATTCCTTTTTTTCCCCCTTCTTTCTTCTTCGCGTCATTTCTTTACTCTTGACAGAAGCTCTTTTTAAAATTAAACTATCTTTTCCTTATATGTTCAGGCGCGTAGCGTGGACTTTTAGGTTAGTACAGACTGTACGCACATGTCAGGGACCATGCAAGACACATATTTTGGATAGGGTGCGCTAACGAACGCAGAAAGCTGGAAAGAAATTTTGAAATAATGACTCTTGAAAATGCGATTTCCAGCGTTTTGAGGGGCATCGAAATCATATAAAAGGCATCAAATCCCGAAAATTTTCGTTGCCACTAGTACACACGTGCGCATATGCGTAAAGGACGCTACGCGCCTGATGTTATCCTTTCATCTAGTGCCTAGCCCACACAAGTCAAGATATTTATAGTTCCGCATACAATCATCCTTAATAATCTTCCTGAGACAATACTGATGCCCGCGATATTCTAAGCGTCTACGATGAAAACAAGTGGATGCTAGCTATATCCGAATAGAAACATCACAGTGGATAAAAAATCATTTTCTTTTCATCAAAGAGCTCTAGGAGGAGATGTTTGTCCTTTTGTTGTGCACGAGTAGATTGACCTCAAAGTTTTGAATAATTTTATGACGTCAATAGAGTGTCAATAAGATGTGATATACTGATAAACTGTGCGCCACGACGTCGTGCGCCACATTTTTAATGAAAATTAAAAAAAATATATTAGTGGAAATAATTCTCTTAATTTCATTCAACTGAGCATGCGCACGAGTTGATGGTGGCACCACAGTGGTATTGACACACTTTAATCAGCCAATCAGAGCACAAGAATTTAAACATTGATAAACAAGTGCAGAAAAAAACGATTAGCAAAAACTGTGATCTGGAAACAAGTTTAAATTGAACCCCTGTTCATACTTTTAACTTAATAATTGGAGATTCGACCCTTCTCAATCTTCCCCAAACCTGCAACGATTTTAAAACAATCWGATTTGTAATTATAATTAACTAGAAACCTTGTAATCTCTCAAGCTTTGTGAAGGCCAATTATGTGTTCCTGCACCGTACGATGCTTGAAGTACTTCGTTGTATTCTTCAACTTTGTCTTCTTTGTAAGTATATTGAATATATGGAAAACTAGGCCAACTATGATACAATTTGATACCATTTTTATAACAAAACTCATTAGGAAGGCTCCATGCCTGAACAGAAAATGTGAAGCGACGCCATTTTATTTGCAGCAAAGCATGATGGTAGTTGTAGTCCTCACACTTATTATAGACCCTAATATCTCCTTAAGATCCTTTGTTAAGCTTTCTATGAAGAATCGGCAACACTACTTCTATTTTGTCTTAGAAAATGCAAAAAAAAAGGAAAACAATTTTTTTTAACAAGGACTGTTTTAGCGCACATAACAAAGTACGAGGACTACAACTACCATCATGCTTTGCTGCACAAAAGCTTCGCTCACATCCTATGGACACTATCACTTATATTCAGTTTTAAATAAGGAGTTGGGAGCTTTGAAGATTTCTCATAAACTACGAATGCTGAAATCATGAGAAAGTTTTAGATGTATATTACATTCATACAAGCCCTGTATTCAAACTTTCTCAATAAATGATGGTTTTTTTGTGTGTGTGGTTTGTTTGTTTGTTTTTGTCATTTTGTTTATCACTTTCCGTTTGGCTTGAAGCTGGTGGGACTGCTGTTGATAGGAGTTGGTTCATGGGCTGAACACAAGTATGGCGATTTGGCTGAGATTACYACAGTCAACTATGTGTCAGCATCAAGACTTGTCATCGCTATTGGTATCTTCATTGTCATTATTGCKCTCTGCGGTTTCCTTGGTGCTGTCATGCTCAACAAATGTCTTCTTGTTTTTGTAAGTACATTWATGMAGAACGTTTAGCGTATGGATAGAGTCTAAGGGTAAACACAGCGCTATCCATCGGGATGAGAGAACGGGGTAGCCCTTCATGGTTTTGCAAGATCTTATGCGATTGGTTTACTAGCTATTTACTAGCTAATAGGATTTTGATCAAGGAAACAATGAACATCGTTTTATTCCTCAAATCACAAGAAAACTCACAAACTCGTGAAGGATASCAGTGCAAGAGACATTTGCAAACATGTACGCGGGAACTCCCGTGACGAGGAAAATTCAGTCAGTGGACGTTGTCAGTTCAAAGACTATATTATATATTATTTTGTGTTGACTGGATAATAAAATCCACCTGGTTAAAATAACATTCAAAGAAGGTGCAATGAAATGCACCTTTAATTGGTTGTTTTGACCAGACTGTTTTTATTGTGTACTGTGTGCCATATGTAATCTTGTCCCATATAATGGTTCTTTTCAGTTCTTTGTAATCCTATGGCTTTTGCTCATCTTGGAGGTGACCGGGGCGGTCTTGGGCTATGTCTACGCTGAAAAGGTAAATAAAAAATGTATAAAAAACACGTTCAGTCGCGTAGAGACTTATTGTCTATCCTCAATATTCCAGTGCAAGCGGTCTTAGCCTCGAATTTATCTACGTATATAGAGGATAGATGGGCGCGCGGAGATACAGATTTTATCTTCGAGTGTTGAAAAGATCTCTCGCGAGTGTTGTGAGCGTACGTAGCGAACGAGTGAGAGATTTTCAACACGACAAGATAAAATTCGTATATCTTCAAGCGACCATATGTAATATTCTGGTTATGATATAATTACATATGCAAGTCAATGATGTCAATGCTTTCTTACTATATAAAGAAACCTCGAATGTGTTCAACTTTACGTAATGAAGAAATATAGATATTTTATAGATAAATATTAAAAAATGATATTTTATTCTATTGTTTTCTATTTTATGAGTGAGGCCCAAATTATATAGAAAACCCCCGGCCTCCCTCCTTTCTGCAAAATTTCACCTAGATTCGTACTCCCTGAAAATGSGAGTATATAAAAGCGAACTTATAGCATCCCGGGTGCAATGGGTACATTTGCATGCTTATTCCCTCTCATTGTCACCTATGAGGGACTGRATGAATCATTATTTTCGTAGGTCAAAGAAGAAATAATGGCAGACATGCATGAYGTTGTTTTTAACAAATATGGACAAACAGATCATGAGGGAAAAACTAAAGCTGTAGACTTACTGCAAGAACAGGTGTGAGCTAGGGCTGACTGAGGCGCGCGGGGCCATCCTTGACATTGATATGGAACCTCATTGTTCCGGCGGAGCATTATAGATTCTAGACATGATCAGAAATGGCTTTTTCACAAGTCGCTGTGTTCAAACAGCCAATCATCTTCTGGTTGGCACATGAATAACAAAGGCTTGCGTCACATTGTTTGAGCATCGCTATATAGATTAGAATTGGAAAATTTCAAATTCAGCATGTTCAGTTTCGAAAGACTTCGTTGCACCTTAAAGAAATAAGGAGCCCTTGATTCATTAAAAACAAAAAAACAAACAAATAAAAAAAAAACATGCAAACACCACACAGCAAGAGACTTCCTGGTCACATGCATCCATGCCCAACACTTGCACATGCACGCAACCAACAGCTTAACGGAGCAGGAACAACAGGGTCTTTTACTGATCTAAGGGGTCTAGCTCCTTAAACACTGTCGATTTTGCCATATGTGGTATTGTTCATATTGTTAATACAAAACATTTGACCATTTTTCCAGGAAAAGTGTTGCGGTGTTGCAAACTACACCAACTGGTTTCGCTCTAAGTACAGCAACAAAATTCCCACCAAGGTACCGGATTCTTGCTGCAAAGTGAAAACAGTTAACTGYGGAAATCCTTTGAAGCAAGAGTCTGACGTCTACCCTAAGGTGATTTTGACAGGATGCAATTTGGCGTCCAATCTTTTTCTTTGACGCTGGCAGCTTGAATGTTCACCGCGGTCCATGGCCACTTGCATCTCTTATGCAAGTAAAAACGGTTCTTTTCTCTTTTGCAAGGGTGTGTTCCTGTAACCAGTTAATCCAGAAATAAAATGCATCCAGGCAACACAGACCAACCACCAGCCCGCCCAGCCAGCCACGCAACCCACATGGCCTCATCTAACCGACGAACAAACCAACAAACAAAACAAAAACCCGCTACCGGGAAACAAAAAACCCACTCAGACATATWAGTCAACCTTCAAACCGACACCACACCTAACCAAGCAACCAACAAACTACTCATATTGGCATTCCACCCACACCTGACCTACCAACCAACTACTCAACCAATCCACTCACGAYCTAACCAACCAACCAACCAACCAATCAACCAGCCAACCGACCGACCAACCAACCATTCAAACATTCAGAAATCCAACCACCCATATAACCAGCCAGCCAACCAGCTTTTATAGAAAGTACACTTCCTAGAAATACTTCCATTACTACTCCCTTTGCATTTTCAGGGCTGCTTCGAGAAGYTGGCAGACATTGTGTACGATAATCTCTTCATAATCGGATGTGTCTGCATAGCTATGATCATCGTACAGGTAATCATTGCAGAGCGAAATCTAAAACGTTGTGCACAATGTCTTTGAATGCACACGCAAGTTGTATCACGTGATAGATCCAGTGGATAGATTCCGCAAATGATGACAACTGAGACAAATGACTAAAATTCTCTTAGCTGGGGATTAGTCAGATAAATGGCTTAGATTATTTTGAAATTATCAACCTTGTGATKAACAAATTATTAAGCAAATGATAATGTGATGATTAATACGATAGATAATTTTTGAACAGGACTCATGATCTAAAAATTCTTRTTTTGTTTTCTTTCGTAGTTGCTTGGGATGATCTGTTCTATTATTCTTATTCGTAAAATCAAACAAGTCAAAATGATTAGTTAAAACTACCTATGTGAAGTAATTTACTGTTAGTCTAGCAATCGCAACTGTTATTACACTCGTACACACGCCACATTCTCTATCCGTAGCTATGAAAACTTTGTAATCTCAGGTCACGTGATTGGCTTACATTATAAGCAAAAACTGATATCAAACTGCTTTTATCAAGTCCCCAAGCAGTAAAGCCTGATYTCACAAGTGGAGTAAGCTGAGTTTGTGAAGGACTGGTTATGAAGTAGAAATGAAGTTCTTGTTTGGTATCGCAGCTCATAATGAAAGCCTTCATTGGTCTTCATTGTGATTGGCTGGTCAGAACAATAGACTCCATTGTTTATTATTCATTGTTCTCACTCTTGGCTGAGCCAATCAATTATCAGAGATGTTCTTTGTAACTGCAGCCTTCGCTCCTTCGCCGGCTCCTTCTCCATTGGCAGGTCGGTCAGAACTTCATGTAAAACTAACCCCGTGAATTGGCACTTACTAATATATTACTGTATTAGGGTTAGTTTTAGGTTATATATAGTGTCGGGTCTTACATGAAGTACTAACRTTAATATTCACTCGCGTAAGCGCAAACTCATTTCACCAGTTTATAATTTCCTGTYTTTTGCTTCACAAGTGAAGGGCATGCTTTAGCATTTTCAGTCTGTTATGAGGGTCTCAATGGGGTGGTTAACCGTGAGCCGTGAAACGGCTGAAAAATTAGCCGTGAGTCGTGAAAATGAGAAAAAAAATTAGCCGTGAGGCGTGAAGCAGACCCCCACCCCTCCCCCCTATTGAGACTCTCTGTTATGCTACAGAGAGTCAGCCTACTACAYGAAGCAGCCTCGATCCCAGATTCTTTTCTATGCCTTGGGATCGAGAGTATAGGACTATCCTTGTTCCCAACCCTTTATCAACGAGGGGATAAGGGAAATGTTGAAGAGGTCGGWTATTATGTTCCCCCGATGCCTACCCTACGAACAGAGGATTTTCCCACCCACTTATACGACTGAGAAAAGGAAAAAAATGTTTTTCCTTTCGTAGATAGTAGAAAAATTCCTCTGCACGCAGGGTACCGATCAGGCTAGTAACAATGTCAATATACCTCGTTACTAGCCTGTACCGATGCTGGACATCTGTGACAGAGGGACTTGTTTACGAGTAAGACCCAGAGAGTAATAAACGAGCTGTGAATGAGAGATCAAACTAGACTGACAGCGCATAAAAATGAAGTGATGAATTACAGAGAACACGGGCAGTCTAATTTAAAATTAAACWCCGCTATATTTTTGTCAAGATATGACTCATCATGGCAAAGTACGAAACTCCAGATTGAGGTTGATTGGTGTTTATCTAATGCTATATATATACTTATATATACTTTAGTTCACAATTYACAACATGTAAAACCACTGATATAACTACGTATTCAAAATAARACATATATATAAGGCAGTTAATAAAGTCACGGTCGAGTTTTGTGACAGAAGATAAAGCCACCTAATTAGTACTGAGTAATAAGACGGCCGAAATAGCTTACTGACGTTTCGGACGAACGTGTTAATCCTTCTTCGGAGGACTAACAAAGGATTAACGCCGAAACGTCAGTAAGTAATTTCACCTATTTTTTTAAGGTGTTAAATTTATCTTTTACACAACTGACATTCATTCTAAATACCATACTAAATTCAGATGCATCATGGGTAAAATATTTAATTTCCTCACTCCGTGTATAAGTTCTTCTTTACTTATTTCTTTAATTTCAAACACTCTGTGGCAGTCAATGGTTTACTTTCGAATGTCAGCTACCCCAGTATGTTTCAGATATATGTCGTGGGCTGTCAACATTCTGTTCAGATGACTCGACTGTATTTTTATTTCCTCCAAGACTAAAAAAAAAAAATACAAAATAACTTAACCAATAAACACAAATACAACCCTCTTCTTTTTGTTCTTCCGTATTTTCCCGAGACATGGCACGTCATGAGTTTGTGACGCAAGTTTTAAAATTCTGATGTAAAATTCAAGTTAAGCGGTGACCTCATGATTTGAAAATAATCGGCCGTCACTGCTCGTCACAGCGGGTGATCTTCCCTTTTTATTTCGACGTATGGTCGTTGTTTTTCTTAAAAGAGTAGATAAATTATAAATTTTTGGTTTTTCATTTTGTCTAGCAGTTCTGAGTGAATTCACCGAAACTAAAAAGAAAGTTTTAGATATTAATTAATCTTAATTAGTTAACGGAGTCCCTGTGGTTTGTTATTGATAGAGCCACTTACCCTCCCCTCCCTTAGGATATTTTTCCGTCAAGAAGGTGAGTCCTTGAAGGCAGGTGAGGTTGCATGAGATTGCAGTGAGCAACAGCTCGGTTTTGTTCGCTTAGAAAACCCCCAAACGAAGACTTCTACGTCAAGGTATGTGTGAAAATGTAATAGTGATCTATGGCAACGGAAACGGTTTTGTTTATAGGGCTTACACTGGCTGTTTCGTTGCTACGAAGAATCGTGTTTACAAGCACACCGAGCGATGGCGAAGTACGAGCGACTTTCAAACTTCAAAGTGTCTAATATAAACTTGTTTATACTAAACTAAGTCAGCTATTCGACTCTATTTGAGCTAGGATTGAGAAACAAAAACGAATATGCAGCGTTTGGGATGTGAATTGCGTATTAACTGTGTTTTGGAGTGTCGACTTTTTTTCTAAAATGACTGCACGATTATGCGGATTACAAGGAAATTCGCGCCCAAAATCCCAGCAAAGTTTTCGTCTCTGCATGTCAAAATCACAACAGTACTACACACATAATGCAACTTATGCGGTCTACATCGGTTACGGCAGCTTTTAAGGTTTTTTCAAGTCTTATTTTGATTTTGTCATTTGATCTAGAAGCCGCTACTCCATATTCTGTTAGGTGAGGTCGACCGATAATACAGCTTACAAACACCACATGTACATTTTTATTTATTTTGATGTATATTTTTTGAAAATAATCGATTAATGTCAGTAAAAAACGATATTTTAAGAATATGTTGAGCATATTCGTGTCATTTTTGCACAAGAATCCTCCGTAATTTGGCGAAACACCCTTTTATATTTTTTTTCTAAAAATTTGCATGCATTTTGAAGTTACTAAAACTTGCATGAATTTATAAATTTAAGCATAAATTTGCAAATGTCAACAGTAGTAAAATGTAGTTTATAACTTTATTTTATTTTAACTGTTTACTTGTATTTGCAACAAAAAACACAATTTATTTTCACATAAAAATTCATAAGTTTTTTTCTGTTTTTCTCATCTTGTTTGGACATATTTCACATAATTTTTTTACGCCCATTTCAATGTTTTATTTCTGTAAATTCAACGGATTAAACTTATAATTGTAGTTTAATATAATATGGAAAAAAATATAATTTAATTTGTCAAAGGGTTTCCATGCCAATAAATTCATTTAAAAAGGTGCATCGTCAAGCATGCAWAGGAGTGTGGGTCATGACGTCAAGGCTGTCAATAAAAATGCAATCCATGCAACTCAAATTGTGCGCAGTTTATTATTTTTTCATTAAAAGCATTTTTCAAGTTTTTTGAGATTGCAAGCTGAAAGAGCTTGACGAGATAAAGAGATAATGTCACACTAGAAATTGTTTGATGCTAACTGCACTGAAGCAAGGGTAATATTGGTCTCCTCTCGCAGCAATTATGAAACTTGCTCCCATGTCTCTCTCCCCTGCTAGGGTCAAATGCTGYTGGATGTCGCTATAGTTTTTTTTATGTGAAAACATCTTGATTGATGTGACAACAAACACTTCCTGATATTTAAATGCACATTTAAGTTAAGGAGTGTTTTTGTTTTGTAAGGAAAGTTAAATGACCCTTAAATATGGTTTGACGAAAAGAAATACCAAAAATTTTTTGAGGCGATTAAATTTCAGATAATGGCTTATTTAGRCTTCCTGTGATTTTTATACCTATGTAGGGGGACTGGTGACAATAGGTGTATCTGACGTTTTTTGGTGTCCCTGAATATTGCTAATGAGAATTTGGTGAAATTGTCGAACATTGATATTCACTGTTTAATTTTTTTTTAGAAATGTCAATTATAAATCGGATATAAGTTCATTATTGAATGCTGACTCAGGTTTATCAGCCTTTTGACGGCTGTTGCAAGCATCATGTCATTCTTTGATGTCCCAAGTTCCTGGTATAAAAAGCACAGGCTGAGCTATTTTGAGCTATTTTCTGAAGTTTCAATCGACCTCATACTRCTATGAAAACRCGGTTATGTCAACAACAAATTAAAGTAAAATAGAATTTGAATATATAGCAAAAAAAAATCAACTTCAGTGGCAATGAAAGTAAAAGTTCAGAAAACRACAGCTTACAAATAAAATTAAAAATTAATTATCAAATAAAAGAAAGAAAAAAGTAGAAAATAAGAACCAGAAATAATAATGATAATGGTAATAATAACAATAATAAAATTTAAATACAATCATGGAAATTGTCTCAAAATGCAATTTGAAATGAATTCAAGCAATTTTAACTTGAATTAAGACTTTCATCAATTATTAACGAAAAAAAGTTAATAAGTTATTCATARATATCATAATATTGTCAAGATAAATTTAGCAGACTTGGACAAAATTAGTAAAAAGGTATACCAAAAAACTTTAAGACAAATGATCACAAAGCCTGCAAAAACTCTTTTCTTTTCTTTTCTTTTTTTAACTAATTTCTTTCTACTAAATTGATTAGCCTTTTATAACTTGCTGCCATCTGACGACTACATTATACATGACTTCATGAATTTTAGTTTAAGTAATATATAATTTATACTTTAGCAATTTTTTTTGTCAAAGTTGACAAGCTTTAAGAAGGATATAATTATGTTCTTTCACATACATGTATATTGTTAGTATTAATGTCCAATGTTCTATCCAATTGCTAGTTTCCATTTTACCATATGGCGGGAATTAGCAGCTGAATTTCAACTGTACCATTAATACAATCTAGTAGATTTAAAACCATAACTACTTAGACTGGAGATAACGCCCCTGAATAAACACTGCACATATTGCTAAAATAATTACATTTGTAGTGGACACAAATGCAGAGTGTAAAGAAGTGGTTTTATATGAAATCATAAAGTTCTAAGAAGACTGACACAGGCTTTTGTTTATGTTTGAAAATAGAAATACATCGTAATATAAGCAAAAACGTACTCTTTATTGTTCCTTTATCCTATATGAATGGAGATGCTTTAAGATTCGACCGTTAAACTGATGGATGGAAACGGATTGCAAATGGATATTTGAAGTCACCTCATTTTCCATATATGAAAAATCTAAAACACGACCGCATTGCATGCTAGTGGACCATGTCCCTTTAATTAACTCCAATCAAAATACATTCAGTCAGTGATAATGAACTGTTATTCATAGAAATAAGGCAACATTGGACTTAAAATTATAGGAATAAATGGCCACCTCGAGAATATTCTCCATGTAGTTGACTTATGAGAAATAAATAAAAATGTACTTATTTTAATTATAAACTGAACCACAATTGTCTGGAAAAATTATCAAGAAAAAGTTGAAAGGTAGTTAAAATTGTTACATCGTTTCATTCAAATCACACATTCGCTCATGTGATAAAGTTTAACATTGAAATTTAGATAACATCTTTAAAAGACCCAATGATAATATAAATCATGTGACTTTTGATTGAGGACAAAAAAATTGATCACAATATTATTATTGCAGAGACAATGTTTTGTTAAAAAAAGACTTAAATTATTCGGTGAAGTTTTGGCAAAAGTAGATTGTGTGCTCCATAGTAAAAAACGTATGATCTACAAGTTACATGTAGATTTTGACTATTAGTTATACACCTACTTGCAGAAACGTTGTCATAGAAAATAGAACATTCGAATTTAGTAAAAAGGAATAAATTAAGACAAAACAAAAGAAAAGCGTTCAGCCTCAGTGACCTTCTTTTGTCTTTATAATTTATTTCTTTTTACTAAAATACAAATGTCCTATTTTTTATGACAACGTTTTCGCAAGTAGGTGTACATGGCCATGACACCATTCTGAAACCACTATGCACCAGAAGAAAAAAAAATTATATTTACTAAGCCTTACCACTGACTGGATGAATGTCTTTATACAGCTCATCTGGGATTTATCCTTCTGTTTTTTTCTGAGATTTTGCCACGGCAAAGGATTACAGTCGTCTTTTCTACTTGACAATTTAGACTTCAATGATCATTTCAGTCACATGAAGTTATTATACTTAAGCATGACTCTACATGTACTGTATGTACAACTGTTTGACCTCCATGTTCAAAGATCAATTTTTACAAATTAAAGATATCATTTGCCCCTAAATTAACTAACTAGAATAAAAGAAATCTCTTGATCACAACAATTTCCACACTTTGCATAATATTAATAAAATTTGGTATAGCTTAAACTAAGAAGAAAAAAAAAACATTCAAAAATGATCTACGTTTTTAATAAAAAAGTAATTAACTTACTCAAATATGATGATTTTTGAATCATGATAACTTGAACTATTTGTGTTGTTATAATTGATTTTGTTTCTTCAATATGGTTAAATCAAAGGTTAATTGTTGCTTTATGGTACTTCGTTTTGTTAGAAATTGCTTACCAAAATGTATTTTTATCAAAGTTTTTTTTTAATTTGCTCTCCTAAATAAAGTGTTTCAATAATTCTATTTTAATAATATAATAAATTCAACCCTTCAAATAACATATTATATTCCGCTTTTGCATTGGACTTGATACAAATTGTTGTTTTTGTTTTTTTATTTCCAGTATTTAAATCAAAAAGCAAGGAATATGTCTTTAAAAAGTCTACCAATTACAAAATGTGTCATGAAAATACAATTTATTTTACACATTTGTCCATTTTGGTGTATGACTCACAATACACTCTACTCAAAAATAACTATTACAGAAATTCAAAATTTTTAATCAAAATCCTATGATTTATTAATGAGCCTTTCCCAAACTACAGTATTTTAAATTTGGTATTCATGCCACTAGCTTGCTGTGAATAATTAATACCTGGGACTATAATATTGGTTATTGAATATAGACTATTGATGTGGCAATCTTGCCATTCCAAAATGTTTTTCATGTGTTAATTAATTTATTTTTAATTCTTGATGAAAAATATTTGCTAAAAGGTATGAGCTCATTCAGGTCAGCAGGGCTGGTTTAAGTGGAGGCCTGTATTTATTAACCACTTTATAATTAATGTATTAGGT